AAAAAGGAAAAAAAAAATAAAAATAATAAAAAAATACATGAATACAGTAAATTTTAAATCTCCCAGATCTGGAGAGATATTACTTCCCTTGGGCTTTATTAGTATGCAACCATTTTTCTCAGCAATATATGTTGCTACTGTCCCTCTGCCAAGGCAGTGCTGGTAGTCAGCAATCTGTATGCTTTTCCAGGAGATGGAGGGTGCCTGTCTAACCTTTGCTTAGCCAGTAACAGTTGTTTTAGCACTGCTTCCTTGTGTCCAAGGGATGAGCCACAGAGCCAGCCTGCTTAGTGGGAAAGGCTTGAGCTTTTGACCTTCAATGTGCTGTCTTCTTCATTAGCAGTGTTTTTGCCCTTTTTCCCATGAAATGTGCCCAGTTTTGTGTGCTAACCTGAAGCCTGCAAAGAAATTCCTGGGGTTTTGGTCTTATCCCAAAGCATAATCTCCCAGGAGCAGCTACAGCCCAGCACAGAACTAAGGCTGCCAGGAGAAAATGCGTCTCATATGAGCCATGGGAATGCCTTGCTGAGAAAGGCCCTGATCCCAGAGACACATTGATGGGCAGAAGTGCAAACCAGAACCCTAAATGTGCTCTGAAACTGTGACCTGAGGGAAACTGTGAATGAGAGCTATTCCAGGCCCCCTTTGTCTCCATGCACAACCTGCCCTCAGCATATCCCCCTGCCCCAGGAGACCACAATTGCTTTTGTATCACTGGTGCCACTCCAGGCACGTTCCTCAGACTGAGGATTATCTCCAGGCAGAGAGGGGAAGGCTTAGCTGGTACCTGGAGGCTCTTGAAGGACATCATGAGAAAAGCTCATATGCATGAGGCTGCTCAGCCCCTGTGAGAGGCAAACACTCAGGGCAAAAACAAAAAGCTGTTGGATGTAAGCTCACTTAGTCTGAGATGAATGTTTACTGATCCTCGCAGCACACATTTATACTTTTCATACTCGTTCATATTTCTATAAATAGATCTCCTCAACAAAACAATGAAGTACTATGAAAGTTAAATGGAAATTTAAATTTCATTTTAAAACTTGAATGGTTTATTGTATACACAAACCTCAGGTACTGATCTGAAATCAAAATGATAATATCATTAGTGAGTCAGAGAAAGAATGAAAATGTTTTCAAACACACACACACAGACACACACACACAGCCTGTGGCATCTGCCTATGGCACTGACACACAGAGCAAAATTTAAAGGATGGCCTTATCTCAGTCACCTATGAACTAAATTTAATTTACACTGCTTCTGAGGATGTAAAACTGTGAGCTGGAAAATTGGTAGCATGTGTAATTTCAGCACTCTATAGCAAATGACCAAACCTTGAACACTCCAGGAAGCAGAGGAAAAGCCCTTCCAGGCATATATCTGGGTCATAAGGAACTTCAGAATCAAAAATGTTTCAGTTATTTTCACATCAGAAGCAATGTGTGTGTACCTCCACATCAATGAACTGCTTTCATTCTGATTTTCAAAGGGATATTTTGTTTATTTTAGTATCACCCAGTTAACACTTTCTCCTGTATGACCCAGTGTGCACCCAGGGTTTGACTGGTTCCTTAGCACTCACTCACTGCCAGAGTGGCACAAGGCTACCTTCCTCACAGCAGGGCACAGGGGGCTGTCAGATGTCAAGTCCCCAAGCTGCTGGTGAAAACTTTGAAACAACACAAAGTAGGAAATCTTGAAACAATACTAAGATTCTGCCAGCAGGCTCACACCTAAAATTGACTTTCATTTTCAATTGAGAGGATATTTCTGTTGCCTGTTTTTCTGTTGTGTTTTTATTTTCAGCCTCAGCACAGTGCTATCTATCACAAAACTAATTTTTACAAGCCCAGCCCTTCACAGCAGCCACTTTTTCTCTAGCTGAAGACAAAAGTCTTGCTCAAGTTGTGTTTGCTAAAGCAAAGGACAGATGCCTATGATGTACTTTAATTTGGAACAAAGAGGACTTTGGAAAAGACTTATTCACAAAGAAATTGTCAAGACAGGAGGACTTTGTTATGTTCCCCTACTTTAAAATCTAATCATAAGTTTAGGCTTGTGCAACTTGACAAATTTGTAGCTCAATGAGCAAAGAACCTTTTTTATATTTTGCTGTCAGCATTAACATTTCAGAAAAATGGAATGCAAAAGCTACTGAATTAAGATAAATTACATGCTTTTTACTTCTTATTTTGAATTCTAATTCAGAAACTGAATTCAGGATTCTTTGCATGAATGCATTTAAAAGCCTCTTCATCTGTAGCAAGATTTAGGAAATGCAAGCTGACTAGCCTGCACTTAAGTGCTGCTCTGAATTTGATACTTAGTCACAAACAGAAATACACAAATTCTTTCATGATAAACACCAAATTGAGGATGAATTAATTTAACCTATTTCATCCCCTTGAAATTAGCATAGGGTTTCACCAGGCCTTTCCAAGTGACAGGTAAGGTGGTTAAGAGCCAGAAAACAGCAACAATACAATTTGAGTGAGTTCTCTTTCGTTCCATGCTCGGTTTATTCCCATGTCTGCCACATTTCTAAATTCATTTATGAAGTACAAATAGTTATGCTAAAATGAGCTAGACACATATCAAGAGTACTTTTCTTTCTCCATTAATGCAGCCTACTGCAGAAAGCCTGAGTGAAATGGTAAGCCCTATCACATGCACTGGGGAGGGTGGAAATCCAACAGCATTTCAGTGCCCTGAACAGCCTGTATGGGGAGTATTGATCTTGCCTGTATCTTCAAAAAAAGGGATGCAAGCAAAGACTCTTCTGGGTCATCAGTAGCTGCATCAAAGAGAGCAAACAGAACATAAACAAAGCCCAGATGTGCTGCACACCATCCGAGCTGTGATCCTGACACAGGAGGGCACGCAGGTACAGCTGCACCCTGTGTCCCGTCCAGCCTGGGGAGGGAAGTGCTGCCCAGGACAGTGCTGTGCACTGCAGACATCCCACAGAGCAAATGTTCACAACTTCGTCCTAAAGACTTTGGGATGCTGGGGAACAGCTGCAGCATCCACTGCCTAATGGAGGGCTGACAAACCACGTGCCTGGTGGAAATGTGCCGTTCCATCTCCTTTTAAGTGTCTTTCAAGCTTCGTTATTTCACCTGTTTGATATCGTAAGTGCAGAGTGGTTAAACATCTCCTGAGGCAGCTGGGTAGGGGTGAGGTGTTTGCACTGTACAGCAGCACAGAGTCACCTCACCTGTTCTGGCTTGGGTACCTCTCTCCTTGGGGTATAGCAGAGGTCACAATCTGCTTATTTTCCGTCATCATGAGCCCAATCCTCACCAAACAGCTCCATGAAGAGACAGGCCTGTGTCTTTACATCTGTTTGGTCAGGCACCAGATATTCTCACCAGTCTGCTGAATCAGTGAACCATGCATGAAGTACTTACTTTATCCCTTGGACCCAGAGTCCAAACCACAGCTTGATCCTCAAGGCACTAGTGGAGGCAGCCACCTTCAGCACTAGCCAAAATTTCTAAGGATATGTCTGCAACATCTAAGGCAGCACAGGCAGAGATCTGCTAGTTAGCTCCAAAACTGGAAGCAGAACAGTTTTATTGCCCAGGTTTTGCAATGTGATTTATACATCTCAGCTGGGGGGCGAGGGGGGTGCTGTCTGTCAGTTCTCCATCCGCATTCCAGTACAATGTGGAGCACAAATTCTGTGCTGATTCTGAGCTGCCTCTGCAAATAGAGCCCACATGAACTTGTCCTCATGTGACTGTTTATGTACTGAATTCAGCAGCTTTCTTTCCCATGTCAAATAGAGACCATAGAGAGTTTAAAATAATAGTAATATAATTTTTAAAAATATTAAATTAATTGATGAAACCAAATCAAATTTAACTGCTTTATTCACTATTTTTCACTATTACCTAGGAGAAATGTAGTAGGCCTGTGACACATGAAAATTTGCTTTAATAGATATTCTTACTATGCTCACGAGGAGAGAAAGTATATTTCCCCTAATTTATCTTTTTTTGTTTTTTTCCCATAGCCTTTTCCCAAGGCAAGCGTTTTCAAAATCAGTCCCTGTAGCACCGAGACATCCAGAATCATATTCCACTTCTGAAGCAGCCAAAAACTCAAGAGAAATTCAAATACCTGGAACATGCTTTTCCTTGCAGTACAGCACTGAAAGCAAAAACCACTTTATAAAATATAAATTAAATGTTAAATCCCTGTAAGACTGCATTTTAATCAAGAATAAAAGGCAATACAACAGATGGAAATGATCATACAATTCTGCCCCTGCCTCAAATGTCTCTTAAAAAAAAAAAAAAATCACATTTACAGAGTTCTACAAAAGAAAATCTTTTTCTTCACATAATTCTCAGTATTAGAGTCATCTTGCTATCATTTTGTGCTTTCTTCTTATTTACTGCTGCTTTATATATTGCGTTTTATCAAAGTAATACAAATGTGTCTTCTGCTATGCCTACTCCTCATTTACTAAGACTTCAAACTTGCTAGCTCAGTACTAGCAGCAATCCAGCTGTGGCAGAGAGCGGTTCAGGCTATAAAACCTGAGCAGGAGCAGTAAATACCTCACTGATAGCCTTCAACTGTGTGCTGCTGCACTTAACCCATTACCAGGACTCGAGGGAGTTTAACTGCAGTGCCTGCAGTGCAGGTTTGTGCTGGCCGAGCTCTGCTAATGCTGTTCTCTGCTTTGTTTGCACAGCAGTTTTACAGCACCACTTGTCCGTGTCACTGTTGTTATCAGCTATTGATAGGGACACGGCAGCAGTGCTCCGGCGTGGAGAGGGCTGGTGCTCTGAAAAATGACTGCTCACTCTGGTCTGCGACCAGCTGCAAGGAAAGGCTTCCATTTCCAGTTATTCTGCTCAGGCATGCAGGCCAGGTAAATTAATTTGAGTATCCTCTTAAAAAAAATAAAAATATCCTAAATGAAAATTGGAGTAACGCTATTATTCATTCAGACACAGTCAAGACCGTGAGCCACGTTGCTTACCTATGGATATGGTCCAAACTGCAGCAATTTTCATAATGGCCTTGGTGCGGGAATTGAAGCGGCTGTGCTCAATGGGATTGCGAATTGCTACGTACCGATCAAGAGAGATGGCACAGAGATGCATGATAGATGCAGTTGAAAAGAGCACATCTAGGGAAATCCATATAGGGCACAACTGTTTAGGCAAAGGCCAAGCATAATCTGAAACATAGAGAGAAAAGAAATGAAAGGAAAAAAAGGAAAGGAAATAATTTGGGAAGGTAGGCCATCATTTCTGAGAAACCATTGGGATATTTTAGCTCTGTGACACCAGTAAGGGCATATGCATGAGGAGTGGAGAAGAAACCTCTCATGGGACTTCTCTGCGGGCAGTTCCTGGCTCTGGACACTCCCAGAACCCCAGAGCCAGTTCCCACACTCCTGGATTCCATGACCAGTAACTGAAGGGCAGTGCCTGCAAGTGACCATTTTAGCAGTTTCCCACTCTTAACCTTTCTTCCATATCTTTACAAAATCAAATATTACATTCCTTCATAACTTGCTCATCGCATTTTTTTCATGGATTGCAAGGCACTTTGTGGCATTAACTTCAGATCCTTTCTAAAACTCCCTTGACATGTCCGTCTCAGTTTCTGTCTGCTGAGGAGAAAGGCAGCAGACAGTTTTTTGTGCACAGTCTAACACATAGCTAAATGACACTACCTCACCTTTTCTCCCCAGGCAGTGTGCCTTGATATCAAAGGAATACTTGCCTCCTTACAGAGCTGCTGGGACTGAGTGGCCGCAATTCAAAAACTGTTTTGAAGGTAGACAGAGTGGGATGTTATTCTTTGCAGGAACTATGTCAGCAAACAGAACAGACTGGATAGCCACATCTGACAGCAGCTGGCACGCAGCTCATTTGGGTGCCTGCACTTATTAAACTGTTTACTCAGTGGTGAAGTACAGCTTGAGAATAAAAGTGACCCCGAAAAATCCTCAAGGGTCTTTATTGATATTTAAATGATATTTAAATCAAAGCTCAGAGAAAATTGATTCGTGAATGATACCCCCACATCAGTGCTCAGAATGGATTGTATGAGATCAATAACACATCCTGCCAAGCTCTAGGCTTCTTATCAAAACAAGAGTATCTACAGCAGCTGAAAACATGAGAGACTTCATAATAGTTGAATAATGAGATATTCTTGTGTCTTTATTCAGACTATTTAGTGGATATCTAAAGCAATCTTGAAGTTTACCCCAAGGATCAGAATCATCACTGCAGAATCAATGTTATATTAAGAATGGTGCAGCTCCATCCCAACTGATCTCAAATGGAAAGGATGAAACATTAGTCTCAGAAATCATAGTTTGAAACAAATTACCCAGCCAAGAGAGACCCAGGATACCTTCATGCAGAAACCTGAGGTTAACTGAACCAGAGTAAATTATTATGAAATGTCCCAGAGAAGCCCAGGAACCTTTCACAAAGAGCACAGTGGAACGAAATGGACACATTAGTTCATTTTACCAGTGTGAAACAAGCAGATGAAGTGCTAAGTACTCACCAAACCCACACAGCCAGACCTCAGCTCTGGGGAGATAAGCCACTCATTTCAGGGAGTTTGCATCACGGCTATTAAATGGACTGTGAGTGGACTGAAATCCACAGCAGCAAGCATTTAAGAGATCCCTGTCAAAGGGAACTAAGTAAAGCACTTTGTGGCTGGAGCATCTTTACTTTACAGCAGTTCTGCTGTACAAATGAATAGAGCTTAATTAAATATGACTCAGCCCCTTTATAACACTACAATCAAACTCTCTGCCTCCTGCTCACCTTCACACTTTGCAGTAGCTGAGGACATCATTGCCATCAACCTGCAAGTGAGCTCAGGTTGCAGCTAAGCACACCTTGGATTTGCTGGGTGTTTAACGATGCCTCAGTGAATGCTCTGGGGAAGAACAAGACAGAAATCCCACAAGTGGTAGCCGTGCTCCCTGTACAGCCCAGGCTTTCACTGCCAGCCCACACTAAAACACATTCAGCACGCTTTATCCCTCACTACTTTGAGTTGCCAGAGCCAGCTTTGTGCTGATGAGCCATGAGCACAAAGGCCCTGAGTGTGCCTTGATGGAGGAAGCGGTCCCTGGGAGCTTGTGCAGCGCGATCACGACTGTGCAGCAGCCTCTGCAGAGGGGAACAGTGACATTGATGGCTGCTCCCCACATCAGGCAGGTGGCCAGGAAACCTCCAGTGTCTCCAGAAAAAGAGGCTTCCTGTGCGTGGGAGCCTCTCCAGTCTGATCATGGTGCTGCAGTGGGTACAGTCTGATGCCTGACATTTGCTAGACCTGGAAGAGGTTTCTACAGCAACCACCTTTTCAGTATTGTTGAATGACGAATAACCTCTCTCACTTCTTCCTTCAAGCTACCCAAACACTTCCAGTGACTGATTCCCCCTGGAACAACTTCTGCCATTGGAGTGAACTAGCACAGCATCACAACCAAAAACCTACCAGCAGCAAAAGTGTGTGAGGACAGGAGACATCACCTGCTGTCAGCCCTGGCACTGCAGGAACCACAGACACCAACACATCCGAGCCATGCTGCCCAGAACCACTGCCCAGACAAACTGGCAGGATGTTTTTGAAGATAAAGGTGGGATGAGAGCTCTCCTAATGCCAAATCCTGTTAGTCTCTCCTGTCCCAGGGCACTCCATTACGCTTCTAGCTGAACAGCCAGTTGTACAAGTAGACATTTTACTTTCTCAGGAAGTTTCCTAAAATGATCTGCAATAACAAAATGTCACTCTGGAAATTTGTAGAATGGCAGCTTGTACACATCACTGTAGCTCGACAGGAAGGGCATAATATATGTTCTATCTCAAAATGTAATTATTTTTAAGTAAGCATGGTGTGTGCCTTTGAAAAACACCTACAGAGCCTACAGAGCCAGTAATTTGTAAAAAAAGAAAAACAGCTTTATTCTAATTCTGTTTTGAATAAATGTACAAAACATAGGAAATGTGCCCTGTGACTGTGCCAAGATGCAAACAAGGATTAAAAAAAAGAATCTGTTAACGATGTTATACCTTTGAAACAATTTTATCCTCAGAAACACTCTAATTACAGTGGGTAACATTTCTCTAACTTGTTCTTTTTTCTCTTATTTCATTTACAAAGAATAGCAATTACCCTATATTTAGAAGAGCAGATGACTGAGTGAAATGAATTCTTGGACCCCAGCACCTCTAAGATGTAGTAATTGCATTTCCAATGGAAAACATTCATCTCAGTCCAAATTTGGCTCCAAGAATGAAACAGTGCTAAATACCTGCATAAGCAAAAAACCAAATTTTTTGTACAAAACACTGATTTTTGTACCTTGAATTAATCTGAGCCCTTAGAATCATATATTTAATACACTGGCAGGTAGACCAGATAGGAGAGTGCTGAAGGGAATTAAATAAATGCAGCAGATCAGAACAAAAGCTGGTATTTCTTTACCCAGCATGTATTCAAACCACAGATTTTTTTTGCCTCCAGATATTTTGTGGGTGGTAGAAGTTTACACTGGCCAAATTCACAGAGAAAAGTATTGCAGTGATATTACTCTGAGATCAAAGTTAACTTCTGGCTCCGGTCAGAATAAAACCAGAATGGAAAAAATCCTTACAGGAAGGAAACTTCTGCAGAATATTGCTTCAGCCTCTAGGACTGAATAGCATCTCATGGCATCAGTGGTTGATGTGGTTCCTCACAGGACACATGGGACAAACACTCATATTTAACCAGGAGTCATGGTCCCCAGGTGTGATTTCATCTCCTGCCCCAGGAAGAAAAAGCAAACCACAATTCCTGTGTGTCACTGAACAGCTGAGATGAGCACAAACTGTTGGCAGAAAAATAAAGAAACTCAAAGGCATTTTGGCAAAGTCACAGACCATCTCTGTGTGTAGTTACTTTGCTGTCAGATAAAAGCTCCTTACATTTTTTCTGTTTTCCATCAAGAAAGATGGCAGCTATGAAACTGAGTCACTTTTGTCAGAGGCTTTATGCATATGGGTAAAAAAAAAGTTTTGCTTATTAGCATGGTTATGGGCATTGTACTGTTCAGTGCATGAGAGTCAGAATTACCAGCTCCTGTAGAAGATGGTGACTGAATAATCCAAACCACAGCAAATGGAAGCAAAATTAATGATGTCAAATGGTAAAAGAGAATTACTCCAGATCATAGGAGAATGGTTGTACAGAAAAAAAAAATAAAAATATGTCTGTTTCTTGTACATATTCAGTACTTCTACAATGCAATCTGCTCAGGCTATCTCCTGGGAAAATCTAGTATAACACCTAGGAAAAATGTGGAGTAACAGCAACAAAATACCTGTTTTCACAACAATAAAGTGAAGAATTATGTAAAATTCATCTTTTTTTCTTCAAGACTCTTTCATGAGAACTCACAACAATCTGCATTAATAATTTCTTTTCCAGCCATGAACAGGAATTTGGAAAAGGTTTCAGCACACATTGTTGTGTTAACCAGTGCCTTGTATCTATTGGGATGAATAAAAGGATAAAAACCATCCTTCAAAATGACACAGGAAGAAAAAAGGTATATTTTGTCTCATTATGACATTTGACATATATATATGTACATCTATGCACATTATATATATTATTTATATAAAAGAAACAGCTAACAGGTGCAAAATAAGTACTAAAGATGCTTATGTGTTCAAAAGCCTCTTTTAACATTGTTCATTGGGTTGGCTAAAAACTAAAATACATGTAATATTTCTCATTTTAGGCTTCTGATATTTACAATTAACTTTTAAGTACTTTAATGAATTGAACGAAAAAAAAAAGGCAGGAGTTTTAATAAATCCCAGCTCAAAGCACAATTTCCCAGCAGTTAAGATGGCCACACCATGTGTGTTTGAAGCACCTTTTGATCATCCTGTAGCTGGCACAGATCTGGTTCTGGCCATACACTAACCCAGTGCCCTGACTCTTGGAAAGGTCAGTGGAACAGATCCAGGAGACACCTCAGATAATTCCCTGGGAATTCCAAAATGAGCAGAGTGCCCTATGCAATGACAGGGCTCACTTGGGGTTCCTTGCTGTGACTTTGCTGTGACAATAGAGACAGCAACCCAGAACATCCCCCAAACCTGTCACCTTCTGGTGGGTTCTGCAGCTTTTGAACGTTCTTTCACACA